CTCTCCCTCTGCTACTCTCTCTCTGTCTCTCTCTTTCAAATAAATAAATAAAATCTTTAAAAAACGAAAGAAAGAAAGAACAAACCTGATAAGGTTCAACTATCATCTGCTCATGTATCAGATACTAGTCTTCATTGTTCTTTGAAGGCATAAGCTGGTTGCAGTTTTCAGATCAGCAAAACACACTGGGTGTTTTGTGCAATCAAGTAATAATTGTTTACGTTAATAGTATCATTTCAGGGGCACCTGGGTGGCTCAGTCAGTTGAACAGCAGATTCTTGGTTCAGGTCATGATCTCAGGGTCCTGGGATCAAGCCACAACACGCTTCAGCTCAGTGGGGAATCTGCTGGTGGATTCTCTCCCTCCCTCTGCTCTTCTCCCCAACTTGCGTGTGTGCGCCTGTGCTCTCCCCCATAAATAATTTTTTTTTAATTTCTTTAAAAAAAAGGGGCGCCTGGGTGGCTCAGTGGGTTAAAGCCTCTGCCTTCGGCTCAGGTCATGATCTCAGGGTCCTGGGATTGAGCCCCGCATCGGGCTCTCTGCTTGGCGGGGAGCCTGCTTCCTCCTCTCTCTCTCTCTCTCTGCCTGCCTCTCTGACTACTTGTAATCTCTATCAAATAAATAAATAAAAAATCTAAAAAAAAAAATTATCATTTTGAAAATATCATTTCTAACAATAGTGAAGAAGAACTAGGAGAAAGTTTGCATACTTCTTCCCATGGTGAAAAAGCATAACGTAACGCAAAGCTCTCTACTCTCTACCCACCTTAAGCACCATAACACTTGGGATGAAATACAATAAACAAAAGCACATCATACAGAAGCATGGGAGACCTAGGTTAGGGTTTACTATAATGCAAGCCAATCTAATTCAACAAATACAAACACAGAACACTGAACTATATCCTTAGTGCATACAAAAGTGTACAAGATGAAATACCTACCTTAAAGACATTTTTTAAAAGATTTTATTTATTTATATGACAGAAACACACAGTGAGAGAGGGAACACAAGCAGGGGGAGTGGGAGAGGGAGAAGCAGGTTTCCTGCTGAGCAGGGAACCTGATGCGGGGCTTGATCCCAGGACCCTAGGATCATGACCTGAGTAGAAGGCAGATGCTTAATGACTGAGCCACACCCCCGCCTTAAGGACATTTACAATCTATCGCTGGTGGTGGGATGGGAAAAGCAGGTCTTTTAGGGGAGATAATATGCTAATGAAACATGCAAGAGTTTTTTTACTGAACCCTTTTGTAGGACACATTGCACATGCCAATGAAAGGAAACTGGACGTAGAGGCAGATACACAGAATCAGGAAAAGATGGGAGCAAGACTTTACGATATATCCAGATATGAAGAGGAATAGGTCTCATAAATGACTAAAGCAATAGCAATAAAAATCCCAAGTGATAAGGAAAGTTAGTTTAAGGCCAGATGGTGATTCCAAATAATGAACCACAAGCAAGTCAGAGGAGGAAAATCTTGTCGAGGGCATCATCAATACCTTTAGGTAGAAGACGGCATCTGAAACAGGCATGGCATGATGCTGGGACGTCCACAGTCCAAAGAGGAAATGGATATGGGAGCCTCTACAGTCCCCGGAACTCTCTATAGAGCCTGTTCCATAAGCAACATCTACCATAAAGCTAACCTTTTCCTAACCTAAAGCCTTCTGAGACATAAGAGAAGAGAGAAGCTCAATACAGACCTTAACCTCCCAGAACTGAGAACACACACCTCAGTGGCAGCGCCAGCCTGGGAGCTAACATTCACCCAATGGAAGAAAAAGGCACAAAGACATCAATGCTACCAAAGGCAGTTTCTCAATAAGGGCGGGCCACAGTTTTCCATCACTCTTGCTTACCAATTTCAGACCTGGGAGTGAAGATTGAACCTGAAAATAACTTTAGAAAAAGGAGGATTGTGGGAACCAGATAAGTGAAGGAAGAAGATGTTTGAACAAACCATTGCTCACACCTAACTAACGTCAGAATCATCTGAAGCCAATGGGTAAAGGTACGGATACCTGCCCCCACCTCCTACCTTGGGTGAGTCTGATTGAACAGGTGATTCCCAGAAGTGAGGTCTGGGAATGTATGTGGTACAAAACCTCTCCAAGTGACTCCTATGTGTAATCAGGTTTAGACTCACTTGTATAGTATGAAATCCTTAGCTTCCATAAAGATGTAGAATATACGTATGTATTTTTTCAGCATAAATATGTAAAAGACAAATAAATCACTGTATTTCCCTGGGCAAGTCCCTAAACATAACCCTACCTCCATTTTCTGCTCTGAAAAACAAAGGATTTGGAGTAGAAAATAATTTAGATCCCTTATAGTTCCAAAATAACATGATTTTATGCTTAGTTAAGTGAGAGCTTTGAAGAAAAATTAACTCAAGGAAAAAAACATCCCATCTGGCCTTACTGAAATATTGTGAAAAAGTTTTCGGATCTAAATTGGTCCCTTTATAGAACTTGCTTTTCTTTTATGATCTTTTTTCATAATACTCTCTTTAAACTCACAGATATGGCATACTTAAGAAAGAATTGTTATAAATAATGTATGTAAAACAGAATCTGGCATTTACACCAAACAAAATAGCAATGGTACAATGTATCAACATCACAAAATACATATGATTTACACAGGATGTAAAAACGTCATTTTGACGTTCTTTAAAGGTTCCTGAATTATGTCCTACTTGGTTGGGGGCTGTTTACTCAGCTCAAAAGTGCTGATGCTATCAGTGGTTCTCGGATATAGGAGGCTCCTTTGATCACTCGGCACCTAGAATAGTTCATGGTTCATCGCAGATGGTCAAAAAATATTTATGGAATGAATGAATAGATTTACAAATGGGCAAAAATCTTTTTCTTTGCACAAGTTCCCCCCAATGGCTCTCAAACTATCTATTCTCATTGACAATTTAGTCTCTTTAATATTCTAATGTAATTTTTACTCTACAGTTTTTATATAAGAGTTAATAGATTCTGGTGCCAAGGCGGGGAGGGCGACAGTAGCCTTATCAACAAGCAATTCTTGTGACACCAGCTGGGTGTATCACCAGCTAGACCCCAGGACATGACCTTTACCTCCTACCTGCTTGTGTTCACCAACCTTTCTTCCACACTTTTCCTTAAGCTCTTCTTTGCAGCTTACCTCTTAATTCGGGCAGAGAGAAACCTCCCCTCCAGCGAAAACAGCGGAGCTGACAAGATCTCCAGCCAGCTAGTCCCACGACCACTTTGAGCTTAACCCCGGACTCGCGCCTGCGCAGAATGGCCATGGGGGGCGTCCTCTAGAATGACGGACAACTACCTTCACCTCATTACCATACTAAAATCTCCGCCCCTGGAGGAGCCTCATTTACATAACATACACTGTGGGTATAGGCGTGCTCCTTAAGGCGAATGCGCGACTTTATGCCCTCTTCTACATATGAAGCTTCCCTATCTAAATATTCATCTTAACCCTAAATAAAAAGAACCCATCCATTCCTGCTCAGGGGAATCACGGCTTTGGAAGCCATTCCGCATAATGACCTTATTTGCTGCAATTAAAGTTTTCTTTGTGCCACTACTCCACCTGGTGCAGTTTCTGACTCACCAAAGAATGAGCTTACACTGGTTAGGTCACAGTTGTCGTACAGTTCAACTGAATTCTGACACTGCCTATGGGGAGATAGCAATTCCAGAGGTCAAGGGTTCTGTCCTACAAGACCACCCCCAACCCCCACTCCTCCACTCCAGACACCATATGAAAACACAAGTTGTTATTTCTACTTCAGACCTAACAACTACAGACCAGAGGTTTTGCTTAATTTGCTAGGGCTGCACACAGAGCTCAAAGAAATATTTTACTTATTAGATCACTGGTTTATTAGAAAAGGATACAACTCAGGCATAGCTAGAGCGAAGAGATAGATGCACAGGCAAGGCATGGGGGGAAAGCACAGAGTTCCATGCTGTCCCCAGGTGCTCCACTCTCCCAACACCTCCACACGCTCCCCAGCCCAGAAGCTCCCTGAACTCTGTCCTTTGGTGTTTTTATGGAGGCTTCACTACATAGTCGTGATTGATTAAATCCTTGACAACTGGCAATTAATTCAACCTGCAGCCCCCTTCCTTCCCTAGAGGTTGGGAGGGTGAGGAGCTGGAGTACAGAAAGTTTCAACCCTCCAATCACCTGGATGGTTCCCCTGGCAATAGCCTCCTTACTAAGGTTACTTAAGGGCTTTCCAAAGTCACCGTTAACATAATAAAAGGCACATTTATTGTTCTTATCACAGGAAATTCTAAGGGTTTTAAGAGACCATGCCAGGAGCCATGTCAAAAATCAAATACATATTTCTTATTATAAATAAATCCCAATATCACAGAGAGTATAAGTACAGGAATTTCCCCTTATCTGGGGAGGATCCGTTCTAAGACCCACTCCCCCCAACCCCCCCACCCCCCCACCCCCCCCCCCCCCCCCGTGGATGTCTGAAATCGCAGATAATACCTAACACTGTTTAAACTGTTTTTTTTCCTATACATGCATACCTATGATAAAGTTTATTTATAAATTAGGCAAAGGAAGAGATTAACAATAATAACTAATAATAAAATAGAACAATCATAACAATATACTGTAATAAAAGTTATGGGAGTGTGGTCTCTTTCTCTAAGCATCTTACTGTATTGTACTCACCTTTCTTGTGAAGATGTGAAATGAGAAAATGCAAAATAGCATAGCATTTCATAAGAAATGAGAGGAAGTGGGGTGAATGATGTAGGCATCAGAAGAGAAACATCTGCTCCTGGAAGTGGTAAACTGTGGGTAACAAACTACTGAAGGCATGAGACCACAGGGAAAAAAACCGCAGGAAGCAAAAAACCACAAAGAAGCAAAACCTAGGTCAAGTAGGAGACTACTGTAAGTTTAGCCTTTAACCACATTGAGCATATACTTAAATTTCAGAAAAGATTCCTGAGCTGTTTTATTACCTACCTGCAAGTGCTGCTTTTCTGCATGACGTCAGCTCGATGATACCCAGAGAGTTTGCAAAAACCGTCATTACTATAAACTACAGGCCAGTCCACAATCTGGGCATTTCCCAGTAAGAAACTCGATTCTAAAGAAGAAAGAAGGAAAATGAAGTTTTTTTATCTTAATTTAACAATGTACTTCTTTCAAGGAAACAAAAAGACAAATTTAAGACAAATACAATTATGGTTTGTTATGATACAAAAAATAAAGCCTATTCTTGAGATTGACATAATCAGTTTAACATGATAATCAAATGTGATCTGCAGTAAGTACAAGATTTGCATACCAATTTAAAAGTCCACTGAAAAAAAGCCGGTTTATAATACCTCTTTGCATTTGAGTATATTCTAATCTATGAAAACAAGTATGGTTGATATTAAGTAAACGTTAAGGACTATAATAATTACACTGAAACACAGATTAATTTATTGAGATTAAGGCTAGAGTCACTTCTCCACTAATTGAGAAAACTAAACTTGATAATATTAAGGCAAATTTGTAGGACTGCTTCAAAAATTCTATTATTATAATTCTGACATGATGGGACAAATTGTCCATTAGATTGATCTTGAGACGTCTAATTTAAAATAACATTGAAGAAGGTGTTTGGGTGGCTTTGGACTCTTGGTTTTAGCTCAGCTCATGATCTCCTGGGTCATGAGATCAAGCCCCACAGAGGGCTCTATGCTCAGTGGGGAGTGTGCTTGAGATTTCTCCCTCTGCCCCTCCACTCACTTGCACGCGCACACACATGCATGCTCGCTCGCTCTCTCTTTCAATTAAATAAATAAATCTTTAAAAGAAATTTAAAATAACTTTGAAGATTCCTTTTTCAAAATAAAATTATTCAAATATATTATTTTCAACCACATTCTACACCGAATTTGGAAACTATGATTATTGTAAATAAAAGGAACATCTCTGATCTATTTTGCAAGGAGAAGTGATTTTGCTTTAGGTATGAAATAAAATAGATAAAAACAGAGAGGGAGGTAAACCATAAGAGAATCTTAAAAATAGAGAACAAACTGAGGATTGCGGGAGGGGAGGTGGGTGGGGGTAATGGGCTAAATGGGTAATGGAGATTAAAAAGGGCATTTGCTGGGATGAGCACTGGGGGTTATATATAAGTAATAAATCACTAAATTTTACTCCTGAAACCAATACTATATGTTAATCAACTTGAATTTTAAATGAAAAAAATTAATACAAAAATATCTTTTGATATCACCCCTGATTAAAAATCCAATATTTTAAAAAAGTAAATTTTAAGGGAATACTATACTTCAAAAATTCAAAATATCTACCAAAAAAAAAAAAAATCTCCTTTGAACTCATATTCAAAATAGTGTCCTAAAAGGGAAATTACCTTATGAGTTTAAGACTTTAAATCCCGACTCAAAGCTGGTCTTCATAAAAATAACTGTGCAATTCAACATTTACTAAGAAGCTGCTAAGTAAAAGGCACTACTCTTAGTCAAACAATGGGATAGAATTGCAATCAATAAAACATACCCTTTACTCTCAAAAAAAAACTTACATGTTAAGAAAAATAAAATGTAACAACCAATTACAATTTATCAGAATACGTGCTAAATCTAGAAGCATTGGACAAAATATGACAAAAATTTGTTTCAAGGTACTAAAAACAAACAAAAGTAGACAAACTAAAAAAAAAAAAAAAAAAAAAGACAAAACCTTGAAAAAAAAGAGATACATTAAATAAGATACTCATTTAACTGTCATTCCCCCAGAAAGCGAATTTCCAATTTATACAGTTCATTGGTTATATAGCTCAAACAGAAAAAGTCTTATGGGACTAAATAGTCAAAAGTCACAATTTGGGGCTATCAGAGCATCTTGAAGTTGAGGGGGAGATCCTTTAACATATGGAGCCATAAACCTGAATATAAATCTACCTCAAATCTCTGCAATCTCAACTATGCATGCACAAAATGAGACTACAAGAAACCTGTCTACTTCAGCAATGACTACAAGGCAAGAGGTAAGCAGAAATTTCACCAGCTCTCAAGGCTAGAAGACAAATTTTTAAGTTCAAGTCCTATCAAGTTAGATAAGCTTGGTAGATAACTCAAGTTCTCCATTTAAGCCACAAAAATGTCATCCTTTAGGAATAAGAAACAAGTCCTAGAATAATGGGTTATAAACTGGGACTAAGATTAAAAATGTGGAGTATACACTTACACACACATACACACACACTCACAAAAAGCTAAAATCATAATCAAGGAAACCCCCCCATAATTTACCTGCTCTTTACAATGTATGAACACAATGTCCAGTATACACTTAAAAACTATCAGACAGGCAAAGAAAGAGAAAATTTTTATGATAATTGAGGGGGGAAATAAGCAATAGAAAGAGAGGTCAATATGGGAACAGGAATAAACAATACAACTTCTGGAATAAAAAATTCAGGGGTGCCTGGGTGGCTCAGTGGGTTAAAGCCTCTGCCTTTGGCTCGGGTCATGATCTCAGGGTCCTGGGATCAAGCCCCGCATCAGGATTTCTGCTTGGAGGGGAGCCTGCTTCCCCCTCTCTCTCTGCCTGCCTCTCTGCCTGCTAGTGCTCTCTGTCTGTCAAATAAATACAATTTTTTAAAATCTTTTAAAAAATTCATTGAATAGGTTTAACAGTACAATGGACACTAAGAATTAACAATTTAAAAACATATCAATGCAAATGATTCCAAACTGAAGCAAAAAGAAAAAGAATTTAAAAGATGTTCCATAGGACAATATCAAGCAGTCTAAAACATATGTAGCTGAGTATGGGAGAAAAATAAAAAAGACAGAATTGGGCACAAAGGTCATATGAATAAAGGATAACTAAAATTTCTCAAATTACATGACAAATAACAACCTAGAGATCTTAGTTCAGTAAACCTCAAGCATGATAAATGCAAGCAAAGCCACAGTATGAAGATGGGTAACAGCAAAGCTGAAAATAAAAAATAAGGGGAAAGTCTTTTAAACACCCATAAAAGAAGATTATTTAAATATGGGGGGGGGCCCATGGGAGAGATAATAATTACAGCATACAAATCTTGGAAAACAAAGATGACCAAAAAACAATGAAATGACATCTTTAAAATATTGAGAGGAAAATATTTATCAACCTAGATTTTCATCTAGAGCAAAGTATCCTTCAAAATTGAAGGCAAGGGGCGCCTGGGTGGCTCAGTGGGTTAAGCCGCTGCCTTCGGCTCAGGTCATGATCCCAGGTCCTGGGTTCAAGCCCCACATCGGTCTTTCTGCTCAGCAGGGAGCCTGCTTCCTCCTCTCTCTCTGCCTGCCTCTCTGCCTACTTGTGATTTCTCTCTGTCAAATAAATAAATAAAAAATCTTAAAAAAAATTTGAAGGCAAAATAAAGACACATTCAGAAACAAAACAGAAAGAATTCATTGCCAGCAAAATCACAGCAAAACAAACGTGGTAGGAGTTTTAGTTGAAAGGGAAAAAGAATCAAAATAATAATGATGATGACCCTCACCAAAAAACGTCAGGAGGGTAAAAACAAACAACTGGTGGGACAAACAGAAAACAAAACCACTGGGGGTGCCTACGTGGCTCAGTAGGTTGAATGTACAACTCTTGATTTTGGATCAGGTTATGATCTCAAGGTCATGATCTCAAGGTCATGGGAGAGAGCCCTGCACTGGGCTCCACACTCAGTGGGGAGTCTGCTTGAGATTCTTGCTCTCCCTCTCTGTTTGCCCCTACCCCCACACTCTCTCTCTCTTTTTCTCTGTAAAATAAATAAATAAATCTTAAAAAAAAAAAAAAAAGTAAACCATGGGATGGTAGCCCTAAATCCAACCATATCAAGCATTACATTAAATGTAAATAGAATAAATAGACTAATTAAAAGACAAAAATTTCCAGACTGGATTTTAAAACAAAGAAACTGATAGTCTACTATTTCTAAGAAAGCCATTTAAAGTATAAAGACATAGACACATTGAAAGTGAAAGTGTGGCAAAAACACACTACATAAACACTAAGCATAAGAAAGTAAAAGTAGCTACATTGATGCAAAATAAAGCAGTCTTAAAGACAAGGATAACAGAGATAAAAAGTGGCAATTAATGATAACAAAAGGGTCAATTCATTAAGAAGACATGATTCTCTCAATATCTATTAATGAAAACTAAAGACTCAGATGACTCCAGGCTCAGTGAAATCTTTCAAATATTTAAATAAAACATAAAATAAATATTATACAAACTCTCGGAAAATATATGAGGAAACATTTCTGAACTTGTTTTATGAGGTTAGCAAATAGAAATAGCAATATATATATATATTATATATAGCCAAGTAGGGTTATCTTATCAATGTAAGGCTGATTTATCATTATGAGATCAACCAATGTAATCTATTATATCAACAGAATAAAAGAAAAAACATATCATCTCAATAGATGTAGAAAAAAAAACATTTGACACACTTATTCATGATTAAAATCTCTGAGAAAACCTGAAAAGAAGGAAACTTCTCAAACTGATTGAGGATATCTACTAAAAAATCTATAGCTAACATTATTTTTAAAAGTAGAATACTGAATAACTTCCCCCCAAGATCAGGAAAAATTTAAGGATGTATATTCTCAACCCTTACACTCAACCTTTTATTGGTGGTCCAACCAATAAACCAAAAGGAAAAAGAAAAAAACACAAAGGATATAAATATTGGAAAGGAAGATAAAATTGTTTTCTACTTGCAGATGTCATTAAGGAATATTCAAAGGAACACCTAAAATTAAGTGAATTTGGCAAGGTTGTAGGATATAAAGTTAATATAAAAGTCAATTTTGTTTCTGTACACTAACATTAAACAACTGGAAAATGAAAAACAATTTCACTTAGAATGATACGAAAATATAAAATACTTAAGAATAAATTTATCAGAAGATGTGCAGGACCTCTAGAGTGAAAGCTAAAAAAACTCTGGTTAAGTAAATTAAGAAACACCTAGACAAAAAATGAGCTATGCCACACTCATGAATGGAAACTGGATATTTTTAAGACATCAATTCTCTTCAAATTGATCTCTAGATTCAAA